TGGTCCTTAAATCACAGCATTGGCCTTTAACATTCCCTTGAATGTCCTCTTCAAATACAGTTCCTTCCAGGATTAATGCAGATGGCTTTCACGGCTGGATTTCAGTTCTTAGGGAACCGAATCATATATAAGTAACAAAATAGCCTATGACCCTTGGCATTCATTTTGGTAACATTTAAAGTAAGCAAAATAATTCATCATCATCCCACATTGATATAAGTCTTTCCTACTGTGTGAAATTAGCAATTATTATTCAAAGGAAGTAAAAGTAGAACCAGAGAGCTTGCTCTGATTTCAATTTCTTTGATGATTATGTTGTGGATAGATGGTATAGAAAAAAAACGAAGTAGGTAATATTGGTTTCAGAGACTCAGAAAGCTCTTTCATTTAGTGAATCCCAAGTTCCCTTTCAATATTGTTGGATAAGCAGCGCCTATAGACTTATGTTTCTCTGTAAGGACACATGGCGAAACAGCATTTCAGCCACGCCAAGGCCTTCGCGCTGCCTTGTTACTGGTTAAGCTGTACCTTCAGCTACGTCTCAGCTGGAGCTTGGTGTATCAGATAATGAGTGCAATGTCCAGATGCTCAGGTAAAGCAGGATTTCGAGACACCGTTGAGGGAAATCAGTCTTAACCAGGATTTTGATTTCAGCTGCCTGAGAGCAAAGCAGGGCGGGATTATCAATTTATCATACGTTTAATTTTGTCTTCCATTTTTCTGAGAAGACTTTACAAAACAGCCAAGAAAATCTCAAATGCTTATTTTTTTTTCTATTTTAATAGGCGTTAAGTACTCGCACTGTGAAAGTAACGATCCCTCCTTCCTCTTTTCAAATGTATAGGTGAAGGTTCCAAAAATAAGACTTCCTCTTTCACTTCCTCTCCCTTTCCCTTCTTCCTTCCTTTTTCCTCCCCTCCCTCCCTCCCTCCCTCCTTCCGGCCTCCTTCCCTCCCTTCCCCCTCCCTCCCTCTTCTTTCCATTTCTCTTCCTTCTCCTATTTTCCCTTCCCCTCTAAGCAACAGGTCTTTTCCTTTGTGGGGCACTTTGAGAAGTAGAGAGTATTTGTGGGGTTTAGGGCTCTGTTTACAAGAAAACAACAGTCTTTTATTGGTGATAAGAGCGTGAGTCCAGTTTTTTTCAGGCCAAGGCCGAATCTCCTTAACTAAAACATAATCCTTTTCATATGATGCCTGATGTATCGCAGAGTCATTTGCATAGAGAAAGGAAAAGAATCACTGGCTGATGAAGATGAGAGCAGAATTGCACTGAACTGCTTTCCACATATGAGTGCTTTGTACTGGGGAGAGAAAAATAATTGTATTTTTTATCTTTTTTTTTTTCTTTTAAAATAACAGGCCATTAACAATGGGCCTGTTTCTTCACGTTTTCCGTTTCAAACATAGATAAAATGTTCCCTTAACCTCGCAGGTAGCTTATTCAGGACACCAGGCTTTCTGATCATTCTCATCGTTACTTCTTTGACACCTTTCTTCATTAGTAAACCCCTGTTTCACGATGTGTGGGATCTATGGAGCTCTTACTTTTCCCATCTTCAGAAATTTTTTTCAAAAGTGAAAATTGCTTTGTTGATTTTTTAGTTAAAAATGCTGCATGTTCATTATAAAAATTATTAAATAGATAAGAGACATTGAAAATTACTTGGTGTTCTAACATCTATGGATACCTTCTGTTAATGTTTTGGCAAATGCTTTTCAAATGTTTTTCTTTTCCTTTCTGTCTTTGTGTCTGCGTATCCATCTATCCGTCCACCCATCCACCCATCCATTTTGCTGTATTAGTAAGTAATATATCATGAACAAACCTTTCATGTAATAAATATTTAACCGTATCATGACTTTAAATGGCCACATAGTAAACCATTAAAAAGATGTCCCTTAACTTTCCTTCAGGGGTCTAAGTTATTTTCAAGATTTTGCCACTGTATATTATATGTTGTTAACATTTGCATTGATTCTCAAATTTTGCAATCAGCTAGTGATTATATTAGACAGTGGAAAACGATGTAACTCATTGCTGTACACAAGGATACTTCCTACTGCAATTTTAATTATAAGAATTCTGCAAGTGTTTTATCTCCTGAGAAATATCTTCCTATATGTGTGTTTTTTGTTTAGGGGGAAACATACCTTTTTAAAAATAAAGCTTATAGATAGATAATAACTGCAAATGTCAGGTTTTGTAGAGTGTCAAGTTGAAACCCAATATCTAGAAAAACCCCAGTCATTTCAGCAGAGTTTAAGAGGCAGCATCTCAGAGTATCCCCATTCATTTCATGCCTCCTTGCCCGAGGGTAGTTTTTTGTGTTGTTTTATTTTGTTTTGTTTTAACTGATGATCCAGCTCATTCATTCATTCATTCATTCAACAAAACCATATTGATTATCCTCCTGGGCCAGGTATGAAGCTAGATAACTAGTAACACAGCAGCGAATCCCACTTGTTCCGTTCTCAAGGTTCTCGTGGTCCACCATGTGGGGAGAGGCTAGTCCAGTGCTGCTTAGGAAACTGTAGACAGCATCATTAAGAAAGAGAGATTCTGCTGGCTTCAGACCCAGTGTTCATCCTTCAGCCCGGGAACTCTTTTGAACTTGTCACATATTACGTGCTTTTTTCCAAGTCCCGCAACATGTCTTGGAAGCCTCTATGTTCAGGGTAGGTTGAAAGTCACTCTTTGATGTGCTCATTGGAAAGTGGAGAGGAAAACCAAAAGTGCTGGTGAAGGCTGGTCCTTAGAGTGAAGAATAAGGTCCCGGCCAACTTCTTAACATCTTACTGCTTCTTCAGTGTGATCCCACACTGGCAGGTGAATATGCATGCAATCACTGTGGTGGGAAACAGGCTGTCTTATCATGCTGCAGAGTCATATTCAGTGTGATCGGCACGTGACTGTGTGCTGTGATGACTTCCAGATTTGCTTAGAAGACATTGTTATATAATTGCTAAGGCAATACAATATATGTTCACTCATAAGTCAAAAACAATAAGAGATGACTTCCTGCTATCCAGAGGTTTTATCCAAGCTTCCCAAACTTTAATGTGCATAAAAATCACCAAGAGATCTCGTCGAAATGCAGATCTGTATGGATAAGGTCTGGGGCAATGCTGACATTCTGCATTTCCGAAACGCTTCTAGGTAATGCCAACACCCCTGGTTCATGGATGGCATTTGGAGTAACTAGAACTTATGATGCCTTCATGCCAATGAGGATTTGCCTTTTGTAACTTCATCTGTATTTTTGTTTTTCGTTTTTGTTTTTTTTTTGCAGCTGTAGTGATGGTCCTAAATAGCATGAGTGTCAGCTGGAGCACCCGGATCCAGATTTTCCTAACCTTTTGCAAGCTCACAGCAATTCTGATAATTATAGTCCCTGGAGTTATACAGCTAATTAAAGGTATGGACTGAAAAGTAAATGCTTTTTAAAGGACGTGTCTGCTTTTGGTCTCTTCTAACAGTAACTTTCGCTTGTAGTAGCAGAATCCCTTAATTAGTCTCTGCTTGTGGAACTTAGACTCTATACTGTCATCTAATTGATTTGGAAGGCTGCTACGTTGGGGGCGAGTTGGTATTTACAGCTAAATGGCAACATACACATTCAGACTAGGCCAAGCAACAAAATAAAGCATCAGTGAATTCTTTCTTGGTATAAACTGTTTGAAATGAAAACTCAAAGTGGCGGGGGGCGGAAATCCTGGTGTTAAAATACAGGTACGGATGTCTTCTTATCTTTACTTTAAAGTAGTTCAGTGATAGTAAAGAAGATTAAAGATATTTGGAAAATAATGGAAGATGATCAATAATTCTTTCACTTCCTGGTTATGATTCCTTTTCCCGTGAGAATGGAATCTTGATAGAAGGAGAGTCAAATATGGGAACAGTATTTTTAGAAACCAAATATTATCTGACAAAAATAGTTGTGAAAACTTAATTTTTATTGTTACATAATTTTTAATGTAAAATTCTGCATTTCTACAGAAATATAACACCATTTTGGAGGGTGTACTTGCCTTATAGAGTTGACTAGTAAAAACAGATGAGGTGGGCGATGTCATTTGGAGTCTCAGATGTTTTGGGGGAGAAGCATATGCAGTTGCTTGGGTTCAGTGGGAATTGTTGGAAGAGAAGGCAGTCCGGGTGAGTTATTTAATTAGCAAAGGGTAAGATAGTAGGAAATAGGAAAGTGAGACGAAATTGTAAAGGAGTGACATGTAACTTGGGAACGTTAAGTATTTAATGTTTACGTTGATACCATCTGCTCCAAGAAGGAGAATTTATGGAGAAATTTAATGACATTTCAGGAAGAGAATTACACAAGGCAAAAAGAAATGCCAAAATCCAGCAAAGTCATTGCTGATGGGTGAGGCATTAGCCAATAACAAATAACGAAAGATCCATCACTCCAGCTAGGGAAGGGAGCTGCTTTTGTCCATTTAATAAGCCTTGTGGGAGATCTTAGAGCTCTCCTGGCTAAATGTTTGCCTCATCCAGTGACCTCGGCTGACTCAGAATAAACAGAATAAAGAAAGGACATGAGCTCGCTCTTCCTAATTCACGTTGGCCTTCACAGAGTCACAGAGCTGACCTGCTCATATTTTATCTGATCCATGAGAAATGCAGAAAAAATAATGTTAGTATTTTCTTTTTCTGAGCTAACTCTCTAGTCTTCTGTAAGGAATTTCTTCCATTTTTGGAAAGTGTAGAAACTCTGGATCGTTGATCCTACTTTAGCTCTAATTTAAGTTGCAAAAGATGATATGCTACCCCTTAAACCTAAGATTTTTTTCCTTTCTTTTTCTTCTTGGTGTAATGTAAGACTAGTTCATTTTTACCACTTATTTTTATGTGTATGCGAGGTGAGATGAGGTTACCCAAATGTTACTGTGTTGGAAATTCCTTGAGAGCAAAGGTCGTGAGATATCTTTTGGATCTTTTTTGGCGCTTCTGATGGGAGGATCCTTTCATTCAATCTTATGATAACAACGCTTATGATAACAACGGACCAAGCTTCCTCATGTATCTCACCTAATAGGGAAATAGCCGAGAGTATTACTCCGTTTAAAGTGAATTTTTAACATTTTTGGAGAGCATTCTCAGCAGGTCTGTGTACTCTATTACTATAACATTGTGATTTTCTTGATGTCTAACTCGATCACATATTTTTCACATTAATTTGAAACTCCAGGAAGAAAAATACTTTACTAATACAGATTGTGTGTTTGTTCCTACTCTCTCATCAGATCCTGAAAATAGTTCTCTTCTGTGTTTACTCTTGAGGGTTTGTTAAACTTTCCTTTGAATAGCATGACTTTTGTCTTCCTGAGACCTCTGTTATGCAGCCAACATACTCTTGAAGTTTAGAAATGCCTCTCTGTCATACTCTCAAAATGGTTCTTTTCAGGATCTGTGCTCGGGACCCGCTCTTTGCAGTCTGGTTTCTCTTATTGATTATTTAGTGCTGTGCTACTAGGAACATTGTCCCTTCAGGCCAACGCGCCCACATATCATGATTAAAAAAAATACAACAGATGTTTTTATCTGACTTCCAGTATTCACAGTTCCCTTTTACGAGGACGCAGAGATGTTTTAGTAAAACAGGCATTTCCGAATTCACTCCATCATTTTTAAAAATGAGCTACATTTGAGAATCAGCTGCCTCAAGGGAAAAATCATTTAGTGTATAACTCACCATTCTCCATTTTTGGTCTCAAAGCTCACACGTATTATATTGATTTATATGTTGCAGTCTGGGCAACCCAGGCAGCGACTGAGATTTGAGTGAAGAGAGAGGGTCTCATACACGTTAGCCACCTCCCATTCCCATTTTATTTACTTACATGAAGACCAGTTTTGAAACAAAGTCACACTTTCCATTCAGATAATCTCATTTCCTTTTTTCTTTCTTTTTTTTGGAAAGAGACGTTTTTATGTTTAACCTTAAATATTGGCTGACAAAATCTGAATTTGTATTTTTCTGTAGTTATCCAAAAGATATACAATGATTCACAAAGTAGAGACAAATGTGATAAATAAGTGTTTGATCCCTCTGTTGATGCAAAAATGTATTAAAACCTGTCTATTTTAGAGTTTAATATAATTTTGGTGTTTCTGGAAAAACACACACACACAAAAAAAACCCATGCCATTCTCTAGGACAGTGTCAGTGGATTTTCTCTGTAAGGGGCCAGATAGTAAATAATTTTAACTGTGCATGTCATGGTTTCCACCACAGCTACCGTACTCGAGGGTGAAATCGGCCATTGGCTGATAGTCATAATACCTAAACTAGTGGAGCTTGGATGTGCTCCAATAAAACTTTATTTACAAAGGAAGCTGAGGGGCAGAGCAGATTGGGTGGCAGGGTTTTCCCACCCCTGTTGGTATCTAGCGAACTACAGGAGAAAAGGAGAAAGAAAGTTAAATGATGTCAGATGGTGGTTCTGGGCTTTCTTGACACCTCCTCACTGTAAGAGACCCATGGATATTTCTTCCCAAGCATTATATTATCTTCGTTTTAAAGAATTCAGTCATGCTCCTAGAAACTCTAGTTTGCGGAAGATCTTTTCGTCTTCTTTCATGGTCAAACTCTGTCAAGAGAAGAGGCACACTCAAACAAGGGATTGCTTTTCAAACGCCATTTTTCTCTTTGCTATGCTTTTATTAAAAGAGAAATTCGAAGTAGTGTCCGTGGTGAATCAGCATACTTTGGGACTCCACCTCTAGAATGGGTATAGTATTAATAGATGAAGTTGGCAGTGAACAGAGAGTGAGAAATCTAGACCTGCAACAGCGTAGTTTATCCCCAGCCCCAGTTCTCTGAAAAGTCTTGAAATCTTTCTGTTCTCACTGCAGGGCAAACACAACACTTTAAAGATGCCTTTTCAGGAAGAGATGCAAGTGTTATGGGACTGCCGCTTGCTTTTTATTATGGAATGTACGCATACGCTGGCTGGTAAGTTGGTATCTCTAGATATGGTGCTTTGTCTGCTTCATTAATGGCTCGGAGCACGTTGATTTAGTACCCAGCAAAGTGCTAGGCAGATCTGAAGAGTCATAATCCTGTGGGATTTCCTTTACTCGAAGTGAGAAAGGTGGCCGGCTCCTTTCACCAGGCCAATATTGTGCAGGTGACTTAAGGAACACAAATGTTACTCTGGTTTCCAGTCAAGGTGACTACTAGTTTACTCCAATGTTTTCAAAAAACAAACAAATGCTGGGTCTTAAGAACCCGTACAAATCACTTATCCTCTAAGTATGGATCCGTAAGGATATAATAGTACCAGGAGATATTGACTTTGCTTGTGCAAAAGACCTTTAGCTAAGGTTCCAAGGGTATTTCAAATAGTGATTAATTGATTTTTCTCCACCTTCCGATGAGAAAGAAATAATTCATATAGAAATAAGTCAGGTGCTCCCAGGGGGTAAAAAGATGCTATAAAGGCCGGGAAGGAGAAACCGAGATGACGAAACCAATTGTACTAGGTAACCTGTTACATTTTAAAGGACCTCACAGATTTCTTAAAATGTCCTCAAATTTGAAAACAAAATATGCAGCAAAGATGACTGATTAAAAGCACTATGCCCCGGGTACATTGCCTCTGACGCGTGTCCAGCTGTGATACTGTTCTGGTTGAAGCGTTAGAACTTTGTGCTCGTGCCTTGCTTTGTTCAGGAATTTGGACAACAGTAATCATGGATAACAGTGGGATTTTTTTTTTTTTCCTAATTAAATTGGATTGATCTAGTAAGATTTAGTTGAAGCGACTATAGCATGAAAGCCCGCAAGGTAGAAGAGGAGTATTTAAACATCAAAATCATTGTAGTAGTAAAATTAAATTTTCCTGTTTTGGGATAATTAGTCACAATAGTTCTTTTTGATGATTTGTGGAGCTAATAGTAGTGCAGGGTTAGCTGTGAGGATGTTCTGAGTCTAAAAATAATATCAGGAAACTACACTAGCTCCAAAATTATGTAAGTGCATTTCAAACACAAATATAATTTCTTTTTGTTTCTTTAGATTTTAAGACCTTACCTCCCAGCTAATACATGGAATGTAAAGATATATTTCAAAATAAATAGAACATATGCCCTATTAATCTCATTGAGTTATGAAAATATAACATTAGCGGAAAAATAGGAGATTACAGGAATTTGTAAAAATAGGAGATTACAAAATTTTCACATGGCTTTTGAAGAAAAATATGTTTGGAGGTCATTAGAAGATTGTAGCTCTCAGGAGCCTAGCATCAAATATTTGTATGTTCCCGGAATATTTTTAAAGCCATTGTGTGTAAGCATTAGTCTCGAATCACTCAGTATTTTTGAAGTCTTTTCATTTTTGTCCAAAGCACGATGTGGTGCTGGACAGAGAAGAGAACGGAGTTGTGATCACAGGGTTAGTAGCAGAATCAACTATTCTGTGTCTATTCAGCCTGGATCAGAGCTCTGGAGCCCTGGGGCATCGGCCAGGCTGCTGGGAAGGTCACCAGGAGACACCAGGGCAAAGTGGGGAGGTGGCAGAAGCTTTCAGCCAGAGCCAAATGTGGGGAGCCCGGCAGTATTCAGTCAGGAATGTGGAATGTGAAGATAGTCACAAGGGAGATTTGATTAATTCTATTGAATGAGATTTCTTTCGCTTGTGAGTGCCTCGCATCTGTTCCCACAGAATATTGAAATATTCTTCTGTCTAACTCACTGCCCCCCTGCCGGCACGGAATATTCAGGTCACCTGCTTTCTGTGGAGCAAGCCTCCACTTCCGTAGGCTTTTGAGGGCTGATAGATTTCTTCACGTATGAAGACTCTTTTCATTTTGAATTTTCTTATTACCTTCATATTTAGTTTTTTTTGGTATCGGGCCCCAAATGTTACTCTTTTTAAAGTGACTTTAAAAGACAATGTAGGCGATATAAAAAACGTTATTCACCACTTCATGAAGCAGGCAGTCTCCACACTCAAGTGTCCAGAGCACTGCAAAATGGGGTTCAGATAGGAAGCTTTTATCAGATAAAAATGGGGAACAAAGAGAAAATGAGTAAGAAACAGGAACTAAGCACGGAGCCCAGAGATGGGCCTCAAATTTTATTTCAACATTCTATACAGGGTAAATGGGGTTTCTATGAACCTTTATTTATGCTTTTACCCATAAAATCGTCATGTCTACTCCCTATTTTAAAGAATGAGAAACTGTTGATTCTCTTATATTATTGAGGGTTCAGTCATAGTATTGGAAATTAAGGCTAGGATTTTAAATGAAATCTTATGATACAAGTAGCTTGTGCAGGGGACTCATAAGTCCCTGTATGTCCCTAGAGGTGGTTCTGCTACCTGAGAGCCACTTTGTGGATAACTAGACAGAATCCAGTTGTTAATCTGTGGCCATTAGTTTTAGAAAAAGAAAGTTGTGTTTAGGAAAAATAGTCTGTTGGTTTGACATTCCAGAGGAAAATTTATCTGGATGTAAATGGAACACAATGGAGACTAAAGGAGTTCCCAGGGGGAGGGGTATTTATTCACTTTCCAAATGTGATCTTGCCTCTCTGACCTTCTCTGTTTTTCATGATATAATTACAAGACCGGGTTGTGGAATTATAAATGGAGCACTCTAAATGAGCCTCCACTCCCTCTGCTGCCGCTGTGACAATGTTTGATGAAAAAAAAAGTATGGGGCCATTGCACAGAAGTAGGACAGAAGCAGCTGTTGTGGTCAGAACTTAACCACCTGGGGTGTGGGTCAAAGCAGCAGGCCCCTGGCTGCCCTGGAGGTCTCGCTCTGTTAGCGACCCACCTCCTACATGTTGAATAGGAAAAAGACAGGCCAAACCTTGGATCTGAATAGAGTAGGCTTTTGGCTGCAAGGAGTGCACAACCTTTTTACAATGATGAAAACTCCTTCACAGAAACATGATTAGGGGGAAAAAAATCATTAACCCAGCCAGGTCACAGAGTTGGGTCAGAACAGCTTTAATATTATTGCCAGTGCCTGCATTCAGAGAAATATGTCTGCCAGGCTCCCTTGTGGCCCAGGGGACCTCAGCCAATTCCAGTCCGGTATCCTGATCCAGAGCTAAATATCGCTTGGTGGAATTTTTTTTTTTTTAGCTATGTGACAGAAAATAGGTTTTTGGTATCTTTTTTCTCCCTTTTAAATCCTATCCTCAGTGGATTTGGTCTTTCTAAGGCACCTGCTGGGATTATTTTGTACCATTGTGTTAAATCTAATCTAAAGAATAAGCTTTTTAAAATAATTCACATAGTTAGGTACTGGAATGCATTGTCAGCTTTATGGTGCCTTTTATACACAATCGTGGAAAAAGTGGAACAATAGATCTTGTGAACGTTCTCTGGAGGCCTCGAGGAGATGGAAAGCAAAGAGAATGCTCTGGACTCACTGCTGAAGACTAGGAGAACATAAAGGTGTATTTCCCAAAGGATGCGAATGTTTGGACCAAAATAAGAAGCTTTCTCTTTTCTACCCGCACCCTGCCCCAAGCCCTTTCCTTTGCTCTATTCTCTGGAGCTGTGGCAAATATTTGAAATTGTATTCTTTACTTACTTTTTTTTTTTTTAAACAAATATTTCCTTTTAAACTTTAACATTGTTGGGGGGAAAAAAACAGTTTTGAAAACAAGCGTTAAGAAAGGACTGGCTATTTTTGACATGAGAGGCCTGGAAATATTTCTTAGTTTGTACAGTTTTTTTGTTTCACTTTTTTTTTCTTTTGATTTTTGCATTTTCTTCCTGTACTTCCCGTTGCCTTAGGCTAATAACAAACACATCACATCCTTCAGGGTGCATATTCCAGATATAAGTATTGATTGTTGCTAGCCTTCCTTGTAACATTACAACCTCTGTTTTTAGAAACTTATACTCTAGTCATTAAAAAAAAAAAATCTCTGACTGATAATTTTTTAGATCAACTTTATTGCTACTGTCTTCTCAGCTATTCAGATATTTCTACGTAAAACAAATCCTTAAAATATTAGATACCTTAAGTTGTTAAAAGACAAACTAAGGCATATTAAAATTTTTAAGAGTTTATTTAAGCAAAAATCAATTACAGTGAGGCAGGATCCAATCTAGCAGATAGAAAGGAGCTCTGAGGAGCTATACAGAATGAAAGACTTTTATCAGCAGAAGGTAGCCAGAATGAGGAAGTTATCCCAGGCAACAAAGCAGGTTGATTATTGCAAGGTCACTTTACTTTCCCTTAGGTAAAAAGGCAGGTTGGTTATTGCAAGGTCACTTTCCTGTCTGTTGGTCCCATTACCTAACTAGTGCTGGTCAGATGATTCTTGATTGACTGGCTTTAGATTCCATTTCTGAGAGAGCAGAAACTATGTTTTGGTTTGGTGATATGGGGCTTAGCATAAGTGGCTCCATTTTGTGCCTGTTATCTTGTTTTTAACAGCCATGAACATCAGCTGCCTAATGTGAATTTAGATGAGTTTTTTATGAAGATGGACTATGACAGGTTTTCTCATCTTTGTTTTAAGTCACAAGAAACTTTAGGCATAATGAAGGCTAATGGGCTAATATTCCAGACATCTGGCTTTAGGTTATGGAGAATTTGTACCTATAGACCTGTGCTTTTGTGGACCTGTATAATTGGTGTTTTAACTTCTAAGGAATGATAAGAGAACAGAAGAATATATTGAAACTATGACTTTTTTATTTTGCGGAAATTTTCTAAGCCTAGGTAACGAAGAGGTAGAAAGATATTTGTCTTTATATATTTAGCTTCCTCATTATGACCCCTTCGTTTTCCCATCTTCACAAGCCAGTTATGTACGTCTGCATATGTGAGGATGGAGTCTGCACCAGTCTTACATTTTGGATCCTTGAGAGAGAACCACAGTGCTTTAAAGGGTCTCCAGCAGTCCCCTTACATTAGAAGAAGTCGTCAAGATGCGAGATATTCCTGCATGGGATAAGTAGAGTCACAAAGTGAAGAAAAGGAATCTGAATTTTTCTAGGTCCATAACTTTAAGGCAATATTTGCAATCCTATAGAACTTGAAGGTAGAACATGGTGTGCCCAGAATGCTGCTCATATTCTTGTGTGTAGCACTTTGCCAGGACCCTGTGCTCCTGTGCTGTGCACAGTCTGGAACGTCCTTGTGACACTGTGCCAGGGTAAATGTCAAGCGTTTTTGAAGACTCAGCCTGGGCGATGACTCTTCTAGAAAGTCTTCCCTGACCTGCCAGTCAGGTTAGACCTTCCCTCACACCTCCACCCAGCTCCCACGCCCTGCCCCCATGGTGCCCAACTATCAGCTCTTTGAGGAGAGACTAGGGATTTTCCACTTTTATTTCCCCAGTGACAGACACATAATCTCACCTGTTGCTGGGGAAGGGGGGGGTGCGGTGCAAAAAAATGGTAGAAGATAATGGTCAGTAAACATATAGATGACCCAGTGATCACATTCTGGGTACATAACCAAGAGAAATGAATGCATGGCCCCCAGAAGGATATGTATAAGATTATTTATGGTATCTATGTTCATAGTAGCTATAAATTAGAAATTCAAATTCCCATCAGCAGTAGAATGTATATGTTACCTCCACACAGTGAAACGCAACAATAAAAAATAATGGATCACTGCTACATACAGCGACACGGATGAGCCTCACACACATAAAGGCCAGCAAAAGGGCCAGACACAAAAGAAGAAAAGTTGTACAATAGTTTTACAAGCAAATATCAGTCCGTTATGATGAGACAAGCAAACTAATGCACGGTGATCGAAGTCAGAACAGGGGTGGCCTTTGCAGGAAGTGGAGGAGACTGAGCAAGACTCCGAGGAAAACTTCCAGGGAGCCGGAAATGCTTTCCCTCTTCGTCCCATTGCTGGTTACACAGATGTAGAAATATGTAAAAACTCATCAAGTTATGCAGTAAGGTTTGTGTGCTGTACTGTTCATATGTTATACCTCTATAAAGATGTGAAGGAATAAAAAATAACTCCACCGACCTAGTGTCATAGGAAAATGATTTGTGGAAACATTTTCATCTTACTAAAAATATTTGTTCATAAAGTTTGCATAGTTCTAAGATTGATTTTAAACATTTAGAATGTGAAACTTTGGTGGTATGATTATAAAATAGATTAATAGCTTGTAATTTATATTTGTTTAGGTTTTACCTCAACTTCGTTACTGAAGAAGTACACAATCCTGAAAAGTAAGTAGCCATATTTACTCTGAAGTATTTATGAGGGATAAATGTAAGGTTATACAGTTGAAAAATTAGGCCTTAAGAAGAAATTTAGTGTGGGCTAATCAGCTTTATAGTTATCGTCGTCATCATCTTTCTTTTAGACAGATAAAATATGTTTGATTGTATTATAAATTAGATGTAAACAACTATCATATATCCTACATTCAGTACTAAATTATCTAATAACCTATTTTGTAAAAACCTACGTATAGCTTAACATGAACTCTCAGCTGCCCACAACTGTTCCATAAGTCATCAACTCCAACAGTTATTTCTAATAATTCATGTGAGTTTTTTCATAACTATCCAATTAAAAAGAATAATGTAATTAAAGAACGATTAGTTAAGAAAGCCTAGAAATAACTGCATAAGATTATAGGAACTTGTAAATTGTGGAAGTTGGGCGATTGTCTTTACGGTTTGTTCCTAGATAATACTTTTGATGATTAGAGGATTCAATGATGATTTACATAGTTTTTCTAAAATAAATTATTTTTAACTTAAAATGCAGAAGAAAAGTGAATTATTTTTATGATTTGTGCATAGACATTTGATTTTACAAAGGAAAGCAGCATAATCTGTGGTCTGAAGAGGGAAATTTAAAGGACAGTGTAAGATATAGACAGAAGAACATTATTTACCTTTTATTTAACATTTCCTTTGTTCCAGCCATTGTGCTGGAACTTTTTACATGACGAATGAGACTTGTATACACGTTTTTATTGTCCAGTCAATGAGTAAGATGTGTAAACAAATAAATATAACAGGGTGTGATTAACATCATAATAGATTATGTGTCCAATCTGACAGAGAGGAAAAGAGGAAATGCTTAACTATCCCTAGGGAGAAGTTGCTGACATACATTCTCAAACGATGAGTCAGTGTTTTTAAGGTAAATAGGAGATAGAAGGAGAGAGTAAATTACTTAGTTCATTCTTCACTCCAAGAAAAGAAATAAGTATAGAGGTGAGTCAGAAATAGCCATGACACTGGAGACTATGCCGAAGGGTTGACAATCCAAATTAATGTAGACTAAGAAATTATGGCACCATGTGTATTGGGAGATGGTAAGATTTAGTCAGAATTTTGAGCATACAACCCAGCAATTGAGTTCAAAATGATGTTTCATATTATTGATTCAGTTGTTATAAAAATCAAAATGTAATTTGAACATGTGAAAGGGTTGTTTTATTGAGAACTATGATAAATCTATGACAATGCTTTTATATTTATAACTGAAATTGTGGTAGAGAACATACATTTACCAGGAACTAGATCTTCCTAGCATTACCTTGAAATGATAAGCTACCTTATGACTCTAAATCCATTGATTACAGAGATAAATAGGTTGCCCTGTCCTTTCCATTTTTGAGAATAATTAGTTTGTAAATGGAAACATAGATAAAAGCTCTTGCTCTTACTAGATTTTACATAAATTATTTGTTGAATTTCCATTCGGTGAAATTACTATGGTTTATGACTGTCTCTTTTAAGACTACAGCATTTTTAGAAAACCAGTTACTAAAATCCAGTATCAGAGACTATTTCTTAGGAAAAATAATGACAGTATAGGTCTGTGGATGTGCCCAATAACACAGTGACACTTATTATACTGTACATCAGTGACATACATATAGTTCACATTCTCTTTTAATGTTCTAACAGTTCAAGCATAGTTTTGTTTGCTATATGTACAAACATGCTCTTGCGTAGATTAGGCATATTTTAAAATTATTTATGCCATTATTACTGCGACCTGAAATTCCGATATATTATATCAGTCAAAGATTTTCTTCCTCCCTTTCTCTCTTTCTTAATTTTAGGGCCTTAGTCTTCATGCATCAAGAATAGCTATGTTTCAAGAAAGATAAATTCTAAAGAGCATTGATTCAGTGTGTTTTTAATTGCAAAGAAATTGTCTCATCTCAAAAAAGTGAGAATAATAATAGCACCTACTTCACTGGGTTGTGGAAATGAGTTAATATGTACAAAGTACTTAGATTAATTCTCTAATGTTTGGTTGTTACTGTTATTATATCCTTATTTTAGGAACAAGATAAATGTTACTCATAACTATACTCATAACTATGAGTCTTTTCTAGGTTTCGATATCCCAAATTATTCTCTTTCTTCAGTGTTTTTGAAAGAAACATGAATTTTTTTTTCACATCGTATTGAAGCCTGTTCTCTAAACTTTCAGTACTAAAATCGAATGTGAATTTCATGGTCTCTCCTATTTTCATGTGCAGATTTCCTTTAATTTTTGTATTTAGAAAAAGTAAACTCGTATTTTAAAGGAGAAACATAAGAGCTTTGTAATATTTTAAAAGTAAATATTGAAAATAATTTAGACTAAGATTATTATTACTGATTACATCGGATGCAATATTTTCATTTTCTGCAAATCATGATTCTCCAAACATCATTAAATATTCTTAGCATACCTTTAATTTGATGTAATACTTTAAGGTCTTAAACTAAGGAACTTTTCAGAATTGATTAAAAATCTCTGGAATTTAGGTCAAGATAATGAGTAACTGTTGAGTTTTAAGTTGATGAACAAAACCTCTGATTCCTTTTGTTCTTTCGTAGTAAGAACTCAAAGATATTCCATTTTCGTATAGATGATTCTGTATAAAACTTAGCCAACGTTTTTATTTTCTCAAAACCAGAATGTGAGATATCCACAAAATCTCCTTACTGGAAAGAAAAGGTTAAATATATACTATGTACTTATCAGCCAAAGAAATTCAGGGTTTTGAGCAATTTATTCAGTCTTTTAAAAAAAAAAAAAAATAACAACATTTCCTTGCAATGCTGACAATCACCCCAGGTCTTTTAAAGATAAATCTTATTTTTTTAAACACAAAGAATGCTTTGGGAAATATTTATGGTTGAATATAGAGAACAGATGGCAAAATTATGTGGACCTAGTCCAGATGTGTAATTTGTATCATTTTGGAGGTAGACACAGCTCCAAAGAACCTTTCGTTACAAGGGAGAATAATTATAATTTCATCTTCTTTGTGACGTGCCAAGACAAATGTGTTTCCCAGTCATGATGGGTGCATGCGTCCAGGTGTGCTGTAACGTGCAACTTTCTGGCAGCTGGTGAAACAATTCATCAGCTGAAGACACAATGCCTTTTAGTATCCTCCTCCCCCTAGGCCATAATTTTTTCCTAAAATTGTGACCTAATAGAAAAAGCAATCATTAATTTAATTCAATAAGAATAGCAATATATAGAGTGTAGAAAAAGGTTACATGATCACAATTGATTACCCTTTACCTGTAATTTAATTTCAGTGGAAAATTTTCAAATTCTCAACATTACTCTGTGGGATAATTTCTGAACTGCTCTTACGAGCATGACTTATAGAACAGTCATGTAGGTGTTGCAACAAGTGAGAGATAAACTGGGAGATTAATGAGATAAAAATAACTCGTTCATGACTTCTTCTATCAAGTCTCACCTACTCTTTAGAGCTTGTAAAGCACTAGTCCTAAAATTTTGGGCAAAATTCCTACTACGTGATTATATTTCTAATGTTAAAAAATGTTTCCATGGTCTTTCTTGTAATATTTTCTTCTCTAGAAATAGCTTTAGATAGATCTATAGAAGTAGCAATACTATGAGGCAGTAAACAGTTTTATGTCAAAATACAGTAATTAATATTGAAATTTTATAATAATACGGAAATATTGCAGTAAATAATTATTTATATA